AAGTACTGAGTGGATGCAGGTATTTAGTGATGATGAATGGTAGCGTGAAAATGGTGCATATAAATAAATTAAAACCTAGTATGTTAAGCGAAGGAATACATCAGAGTAATTAAATCGTAAAAAAAAAAAAAAAATAATGTATTAGTTATTAATTATTATTTATTATTGTTGTGTTTATATTATTATTTGTTATATTATTATGTAATTATTATGTGTACAATTATAATTATGTAGTTTCAGTATATTAAGAATGTGAACGCAAAAGTAATTGAATTATAAAATGTTATTAGAATATTATTATTATTTTTAAGGAGGAATAATGTTATGTAATTTACCTACCTAATTAATATTTATACTATTATGTAATTGGTATCGACGACAGCGCGATACTGCGATAGCCGTTTCATATTATAATAAACAGTCTTAATTAAATCGTACTCGCTGTAAGTTGTTTGGTCGTCCGCTGCACTCCGCGCGTCAGTCTAAAAAAGCGCAAACATAACACTAATTACAATATTGGCATATGAAATTTAACGATGAAATTTAATATTTACGAGTAATTTGTTTTTGACGAAATTTAAAACTAAATTCAACTTATTGTTACTGATTACTAGTTATTAGTATCCACAGATTACATTTGCATACAGATAAGATAATAAAAATAACTTTGACAACAATTGCCAGCAATTAAGATAGTAAATCCTGTTCTTTATAAATTTATTTTATAAATAAATGTTGATAAATTAATTTCGCTAACTATTAACAATTGTTTTAATGATTTCAAACTAGTCTTGTGACAGTTACTGTTCATGTAACATCGTGTTTATTTTATCCTGATTAAGTATCACATGTTTTTCTGAAAAAAATTGTATTACTTTAATACACTGTCTTACGACATTTATTAAAATGAATAACAGTGAAAAAGTCGATCTTATTCTAATTGTTGGCGAATTTAATCGTAGTTCTCGACAAGCAGCTCGGGTTAGGTTAGATCGGTATCCAGATAGGTTTCATCCACATCATAATTATGTCCATAGACTTTACGTGGATTAAATGAAAATGGTCAATTTCCTAGCAACCAAAATAGACAACGGCAGCCTAGACCAAATAATTTTGATGAAGACACTGAAATGCAGGCAATAGCCTACATACATGCTTATCCACGATCATCAATAAGACATGTATCTCGACAATTTGGTATATCAGTTGGCGCAGTACATACAATTTTGAAAAAAACAAAATGTTCCCGTTTAAACCTGAGTTTATCCAACATTTACGAATCGGAGATTATGAACGTAGATTACAATTTTTGTCATGGTTTAGCGTCCAATTTGAAAACGACAATTTATTTTATAATAATATTTTGTGGACTGATGAATATGAATTCACAAACAATGGTGTAATGAACAAACAAAACAATAGGTTTTGGGACGATACAAATCGACACTGGTCCCGAGAAACTAACTTTCAGACAATTTGGGGTATAAATGTGTGGTGTGGATTAATTGGTAGGGTTACCACATTGTGTCTTTAGGAAAAGAGTACGTAATATATAAAGCCATAAAGATAATATAAAAACTCTAATTTCATAGTTGATATTTATTTAATTAACAAGACATTTTATATACTAAATTATGTGTGAAATACTTAATAGTTAATACTGAAATACATAATATTATCATATACCTATGATATATTTGGTTAAAAATTAGTTTTTATTTATAATTTTAATTAGGTACACGCCACACGGGTATTTGATTAATATATATGTTTAAGAATTTAATATTTATTACTGCTTCGTATTTTTGATATCAAACATTTGTCTTTAATACAATAATCATAAAACTGAGTACAGTCAAAATGCTTAAAATTGTATTGTGTCATCAACAAATTTTTTACAGAATCGGGTAGAAGTCTATTTCTGTCATCAGTCCATTGTGCTTTCATAAGACTAAATATTCTCTCGACATTGGCATTTTGAGCAGGTATGGCGAAGTAGAACGTGCATATTTTTAATAGTTCTGAAGATGTATCATAGCTTCTTTGTTCAAAATATTTCACCCACTTTTTATCTGATAATAATGATGAAAAGTCTTCATTTTTTTCCATTTGCGACAAAAACAAATTTAAGTTTTGAGATTGATCAAATAATAAAGAGTCGTTTAATTGTAGATCATATTTGTTTAAAAATACAATGCTATTTTCTATATCAGTCCATAAAGGTTTGGTGTTTAAAGACATCCATTTTAAACAATTAAATTGATCAAAATTGACTGTCCATTTTTTCAAATAACACAAACCATGATCATAAACATTTAACATTTCTTTTTTTAAATTAGATACACCTGATTGATTATAATTATTTTTAAATATTTCTTTTACTTTTAAGGGTAAAAATTCTTGTTGTTTTCGTTCGTGTAAAGCATTTTCTACAGACAACAAAATTGACGAAATCTCCCAAATCGAATTATTCTCTTTTTCCATTATTTCAATTTTTGAATGAAATACATACATTAGTGAATGAATAAACCATAAATAACTTTCATTTAATGGATTTTCAAAAAATGATTTAATTGCAATCGGTATTTGATTTTGTGACAAAAAATATGACTGAAGTGCTGGATATATTTGTAACAATCTATTAATAGCCGGAAATAATGATAACCATCTTGTTTTTGAATGAAATAAAAGTTTTTTGTACTCAACATCGACAAAAATACAAAATTCTTTTAATGCTTCTGTACGTACTGTATAAATTGAAAAATAATTATATATTTTTAATATAATAGACTCTATATCTATCGGTAAGCCATCAATTGCATGCTGAACACAGTTATTTAGAATATGAGCAGGGCATCCGATTCCAATAATTGGTTTTTTAATATACTGTTGGAGACGATAAAAAACATTATTTGTTCCTCGTCTTTCTACACCACCGAAATTGGTGTTACAATTATCTCCAGAAAAGGCTATACACTTCGAAAGTAAATTCATGTTTTCTAAAGTCTCTATCAATAAATTACAGATTGTTTCACTAGTTTCATTTGGTAATGACTTAAGTTCAATTAAATTATGTTTAATCCCAAAATTTTTATCAAAATATTGAATTAAAATAGGAAAAATTTTCACAGCACCATGGTTAGACCCATCTGTACAAACTCCAATAAATGAAATATTGTTATCATTAATGATTTTTAAAACTTCTTTTAATGAATGTGGGGCTAAGACATTATTAACAATAGCTTCAGTTTTAGTTCTAGCAGAAGATATTTTAGATGCTACCTCTGAATCGCAAAACATAAGACGATATAATTTAGTGGAACAATCACAAGATTTATAGCTATGGTGATGTCTTACCGTATGAAAGGCAAGTGTGGCTTCAACTGCTAATATTTTTTCTTCGATTTTTGTATTCTGTGTTACAAAAAACGTATTCACAGATTTTGAACCGCTAGTTGATTGAATATTTTTTGAATGTTTAGACGAAGACAAATGTTGTATTAAATCAGCTTTGCCTTTATTGGCTAAGGAAACAATTATACAACAAATATTACAAAAAGCCTCGTGTTCATTTTCTGTTTTTTTAAACATAGGGTATTCTTTTATTAATTTTTCATTAAATTTACATTTTCGGCGAGACATTTTTGATGAACACAATTTAGCTTGATGCGTAAGCGTGAAGACGTGAAGTTAACGAACTAAAATGTATAGTACTAGACACTAGTACATAGTAGCAAATACTAACACGGACTAATTCAATATGTCACATGTATGATGTATATCGTATTACCGTAGACATTTCGGAGAAAAACGACGATAACATCGATAACGTCCGTGCCGATTAAATTTATATTTATGTTATTACTTTATTAGATTAGCTTACAAGTTTATTACGACTTGTGGCATTTCGGTATCTTCGGAATTAAATAGAAATAGGAAAAAGAGTACATTGTTGCCAATATAAAAAAAGTGAGAGTACAAAAATTTTAAGAGCTCATAAGAGTACATGTACTCTTAAAAGAGTACTAATGGTAACCCTATTAATTGGTGGAATACTTTATATGACCATTATATTATTTAATGGTAAAAATTGAAGTATCGCCAATCTCTTGTAATTCAACATTATTTATTATTCGTTCAGACTGTTCAAACTGTTCATCAATGTTTTCAATGTCTTCATTAAGTCTCTCAAAAATTTGATCTTCATTTAGTATATGAGAGGTTGAATCAGGATCAATATTACTGAAAATATGAATATAACTATTTAATTTTCTAAAAATAGTCACACAATATTGTATATTGAACACATAACTCCACCTGTTTTAAGTATATTTTATAGTTGAATACATAAATGTATATAAAATATTTATATTTTAAATACATTTAATTTTGTCATTTAATGTAAAATAAGATGTAGTTTATGTTTCATTTTTATTTAAACAAAAACATAATAGTTTACATTAAAACAAATCCATATACTTTCAAATTCAAATTGGACAAGGTAAATTATTTTAAATACATTGAATATAAAGTCCTTACAAATAGTTATTCAAATTATATATTATACATATTAAATTTACTTAATCAGAGGTATGTGAAAATCACTAATAATGGACTGTATTGTAAAATAAATTTACAGTTAATAAACTTAATATTTAATAAATATGATAAACTTTATCAATTTAAGGGGATTCGATACCGTGATTTTCTGTTTATGTCTAATACACGTGTGACATCGTATTTTAGTCGTGTTTTTTGCCAAACATTCCAATTAATCTATTGAAGCAATAAGATTTCTGAAAACAGATTTGAATTTGTCGTCAAGTCTACTTGAAATCGACTTTCCCACATTTTTGATTTTTTGATTTTAACTTCTCCAAAAATTGAAATAACAGAATTTTTAAATACTCTTTTTGAATATGATATTTTAAAAAATTTTGGGGATAATATTAAAATAACATGATTTGTGTATTGCTGTAGAGGAAGTAAAAGCACATAGAATGACTGTAGATCAAGCTTGTGACTCATACAAAATTCCCAAGACAACTTTGCTCTACCATGTACAAGGTAAAAGAGGTGTGAAGAGTGAAAGTTTTGGAAGACCAATGAGTCTACCATTACCGATGGAAAAAGAACTTATTGACGGCTTAGTGTATGATGCATATTGCAAAACAAATAAGTACTCGTTAATTAATTTTATTACATGCTTTTCTTTAACTCACAATGTTTCATTCCTGTTGTCTTCAAATCTTGCGCGCTCGATTTGAGGCACTTATTTACGATGAAAAATTCTGAAAATTGGTATAGACATAGGTATTGGAAGGCAATACAATAATCCGTTGTTATTTTGGGACCCGGACTTCCAGGTCGGCGATGACGGGTGTGCAAAGTCATCTCCGAGGAAGAAGAATAAATAATATACAGGTACGAAATTTTGTTTATAAACGGTTTCCATGGGTTATAAAACTATTATAATAATAATTACTTTTAACTTTTAACGCGTTTCATTGTTAAAACAGTAAGAAAATCCTACATAGAGATTGACAAAGCGTATAGATAATAAAATACTAAACAAATAATAATGTATAAAGAGCATTAAAATATAATATTACATAGTTGCTTATAATATTCAAATGTACCGAAAATAATAAATATTATGCTCTCAAAAAATCGTTTGTTTCTAATAATTTATAGTTATCACTAAAAAATAGAAAATAAAATAAATAAAAAAATAATTTTTAAAAACATGCTTTTCTTAATACTACTTAATAAATGAACGAAAAAAAAAAAAAAAAACTTACTTTTAAAACAATTTCTTAATGAAACTTCAAGGTTAACAAGATATTACTAAAAGTGTTTATAAAATGTATTTGTTGAACAATTTTTAAAAATTCTGAATTACAAAAAAAAGAAATGCATGGGGCTCTTATGAGTCAGGAATATCTCTTACAAAATTGTGAGTGTGATCAATAATCTTTAAAATATTTATCATAAAGTTTATATAAAAATTCAGTTGTAGAGTGACTTTACGTATGACTTATCATAAGTATATAAGTTATCTATTTTCATAAAAGTGTCCAATAACAACAAAATTAAACAATTTCAGAATATTGCTCTTAGGAAAATTACTAATGCTACAACCTTTGTTTCGAATTACACAATACATAATGACCTGTCAATTAAAACCGTGGCTCTTATGAGTCAGGAATATCTCTTACAAAATTGGAAGTGTGATCAATAATCTTTAAAATATTTATAATAAAGTTTATCTAAAGATTCAGTTGTAGAGTGCCCTTACGTAGGAGTTATCATAAGTGCCCCATGCATTTCTTTTTTTGTAATTCAGAATTTTTAAAAATTGTTCAACAAATACATTTTATAAACACTTTTAGTAATATCTTGTTAACCTTGAAGTTTCATTAAGAAATTGTTTTAAAAGTAAGTTTTTTTTTTTTTTCGTTCATTTATTAAGTAGTATTAAGAAAAGCATGTTTTTAAAAATTATTTTTTTATTATATTTATAGGACAATGGAAAAATGGGGATTTGGTTTAAGCAGAAGTGAAATAATTACTCTGGTTGGAGATTTTGTAACAATAAATAATATAAAAACTCCATTTAAGAATGGAATTCCCGGGGAAGATTGGTTTTTCAATTTTAAAAACCGACACAACTTATCCATTAAATAACCACAGTCAGTAGAATATGCCAGGAAAAAAAGTATTGATCCGTTTATAATTTATGCATACTTTTGATTGGGTAAAACATTAGACGAACTTGAACTTCATGACAAACCTTTGGAATTTAGATGAAACTAGCTTCTGTTTAGATCCATCCAAAACAAAAGTAGTTGGTGTGAAGGGTTGTGCATCTAGCCGTACAGTAAGTGGTCCAGGAAGAGAAAATATAACTGTTTTATTTGCAGCAAGTGCTCACGGCAATAAATTAACAAAACCAATTATATTTAAAGAAAAAAATATGTGGGACAGATGGGTGCAACTAGCTGGTGACTATCCTAATACCGCCTATGCTGCAACACAAAATGGTTGGATTGAAGCACCATTATTTACAAATTATTTCAAAAGAACTTTTATCAATTATGTTCCAAGCAATCGACCAATATTACTAATTTATGATGGGCATTCAACACATATACAAATGAACATAATCTTAGAGGCAATTAAAAATAATATAACCATATTAAAACTACCTCCACATTCAAGTCATATTCTTCAGCCCCTTGATTTATCAACATTTAAATCTCTCAAAGTTAAATGGGATGCTAAGCTGGTTACATGGCAAAGAAAAAATATTGGCAAGAAATTACCAAAATCAGAATTCAGCAAAATAATTGGAAATGTATGGACCGATGTTTCTGCAGATATTCTCAAAGAAGGTTTTAAAAAAGGAGGAATTATTCCTTATAATAAAAACTGTGTAAGTGAAGATTAGGGTGTTCCTTAATTTTCAATTTCAAAATATTTTTGGTCTCACCCCCTAAATCGGTGTGCATACATATAAAAGTGAACTGCAAAAAATGTCAGGTCAATTAAATAAAGTTAACCCGTGCCAACTTGAAGTTAAAGTTTGAGCTTAATACATTTTTAAATAATATTAGACAATTTTTGTATTTTCGTAAATATTTCGTAAACCATTATGAAAATCGTAATTTTTTAATATGTTTATAATATGTTTTTTCAAGTAAATTAAATTTCTAATATATTTTATAATATAACATTTTTTAATAAATCTATTAATTTATAAGATGCATAAGTTTTAATCTTAAAAAACAGAATTTCTCCACAAATTTATAATTTACATTTTATTATTTTATTGTAGGATTAATAATAATAATCTTAACTTATAATATTTGGTAAAATTATAATATTTTCAATGTTCATAGTAATATTATGTACTTCTTATACACTTATTTGTGTAATTATTGGTTCTTCATATTTTCGTATTAATATACTCGTATAAATAATAAACGATAAGATTGTGAAAACGATTAAGATGTGACATGTGTTGAAATACGTATTGTTTATCTATAACTTATCGCATATAATTTATAAAAGATATTATTTTGTTAGTGATACTCATTTATTTCAGTTGTGTCAACGTCTTATGTGTTAAAGGTTATTATTGTGTTTGTCGTTAGTAATTCATAATAATTTAAATAGCAAAAATGACAATAAAACTGAGAAGTGATTTTCAAATATTTTTAATTGGATCTCAAATCACACAAATTCATGGCTCAAAACTTCCATCCAACGGCCAAGTACTTTCTGTATTTTTCTACAATATGAGAACCGTTTATCTTACTACTAGGGAAAGTGCGGCGTTAGCTGTACGAGAGTGTTGCATTTTTTGGGAAAAAGCCCGGATTCCTATTCGAGCTATTCATCATTGCATAACTAAATGAATTAACTTGTACGAGGAATGGCGTAATCTACAGAAAAATGCACAAAAAGTTGGTGAATCTTATCGGTTAAAAGAAAATGATTTAAAAAAAAAAATAGATTTGTTATTTGATATTGCTCATTCTGATGAGTTAAAATTAATTAAAATAGAAGTTGATAAACAGTTTCTAATAAACCAGCGTTTACCAGGGCGGGCGTCCTGGTTGTCTCGGAGGTATAGATATTAAAGGAGAAATAAAAGAAAATATTCACATTCAACGAAAGTTGAATGAATCGAAAAGAAAAGAAATGTATAATACAAGTTGTGCTTCAACTTCGACATTACTCGATAACTCATTTGAGCAAAATTTAGAAACTGATAGTCTAGAAAGTAGCGATATATCGCAATTAGAGACCAGCATTAATTCTTTAGAGCTAATAGAACCACCAACTAAAAAAAAGAAATGCCGTGGAAAAATAAATTTTATAACACCAAAATTGGCCGGAGCGTTAGATAGATGTCAATTAAGTATTCGAGATTCTGTATATGTTCTCCAGGCTACTTTAGAAGCTTTAAATTATAATACAGACGATTACGTAATAAACCAGACTTCTATACACAGAGCTCGAGAATCATACCGTTGCGAGCGTGGTGAACTAATAAAATTACAATTTAAGAAATCACTACCTAATTACGCAGTAGTACATTGGATGGAGATTGGGGACTATGCAATATAGTACAAGCTATGTGTACTATTTAATTACGCTTATGCATCTTTTAAATTAATAGATTTATCAAAAAATGTTATATTATAAAATATATTGGAAATTTAATTTACTTGAAAAAACATATTATAAAAAAATACGATTTTCATAATAGTTTACGAAATATTTACGGAAATACAAAAATTGTCTAAAATCATTTAAAAATGTATTAAGCTCAAACTTTAACTTCAAGTCGGCACGGGTTAACTTTATTTGATTGACCTAAAATTTTTTGCAGTTCACTTTTATATGTATACACACCAATTTAGGGGGTGAGACCAGAAAAATATCATTATTTTTTTTTTTCTTATATGGCTAAGGAACACCCTAGTGAAGATACATTTGATCCTATTGCCTTAAAAAAATGGAAAGCAAAGTGTGCCCAAGATAATTAATATAATATAATACTAATAACAAAGAAAAGAATAATGCACCGGAAAATTTGCCTCTACTCATCGATCAGCCATTAACATCAACAGTTTTATTAAATTAATCTAGGTCCAGCGATTCAACTTTACAATTGCACCAACCATCAACATCAGCAGTTTCATTAAATGAATCTGGGTCCAGCAATTTAAGTATCAATTCTCATACCGATGACATTACTACTTTTCCAATCACCACATAATTTGAACAGTTACTGCTACAGACGTGTAAGCAAACTATACCAGTAAACGGTCCCTAAAAAAGAAAACGGATTACTGGAGGCGCTGAAGTACTAACTGCTAATGATTACCTGGATAAATTGATTGCAAACCAACAGGAAAAAGAGAAAATGGAAATAGTTAAAAAAAAACAGAAACTTATATTAAGACAGAAAAAAACTCAAATAGTAAACAATGAAGCTGATGTTGAAGTACAAAATGAAGCTATTATAGATTCAGAAGATAATGATGATAATGTTTGTTCAAATTCTTCAAAAAGACAAAAACCAGGTGTATAATAAACCAGTAAATGAAAAAAAAAGATGATTTGGTCTTTGTAAAGTTTTCTAAAAATAAGTCCATCTATTATTATGTAGGACAAGTGATTGACAACAGGGAAGATTGTACTGTGAAATTTCTTCGGAAATTAAAATCAAAAAAAGAAGACTGTATCAAGTTTGTTTGGACTACTATAGACGATGTTGGAATGGTATTAGAGCCAGATATTATGGTCATATTGCCAGAACCTTCCAAGGGAAGAAGAGGGGAACTATTGTTTCCAGTTGATTTTTCTAGTTATAATGTGCAATAAATAAGACTGACATTTAGGCACAATATAAGTTCCTAATTAAATTGTGTATTTATAAAGTACTTTTAAGTTTTCTAAGTTGAATTTATATTTGTTAAAAAAATTCTATTATTATTATTTTTAAGTTTTCTAAGTTGAATTTATATTTGTTATAAAAAAATTCTATTATTATTATAAGTCTATAATTTTATTTTAAGTATGTGGTAATAAATTACTCAACCACACGGACTGCAAAAAGAAACAATAATCAAGACTGAGGTATATGACTTGTTATATTAATTAATATGTAAAAGTATAAATACGTATTATATTTTTATGTTTTTTACCAAAAGTTGATAATAATAAAGTAATTAGTTAATTTGAGTGTTTATTAATTCAGTAATCCAACCAATACATTATGGTAATAAATCAATTGAAACATGTAATCTGGAATTAATTAATTAATCTAAAATTTATAATTAGAAAAAAGATCATAACTCTAAAACTAATGGTTCAATTTCGTTCATTTTTGTATCAAATAAATTATTAAAACGTGTAGATTATCTCACTTGCCCCGATAAGTTTCAATATCGTTATAATATATTTTTATGAACTGATTTACAGTTGCCCCAAATAATGGGGAAAGTGTGATTTTCAAAATTATATTTTGAAAAGGGCCCTAAACAGTTAAATTTTAATTTATCAGGCTTTTTGAGTATAAATTTAGGTTCTCTGTAAGTGTTTATGTAGTATGTGATAAACATTAAATAAATAAATCATACAGTCTTTATTTAATGACCATATTAATTGAAAAAAAAAAAAAGCGTTCACACTTATCCCACCTTACCATATGATATATTATTATTATATATTATATATATGTAAAGAAATATACTTCTTTATTATCACTATTCTCATTATTATCATTGTTATCATTATTATTAATTTTCTTATTATCATCACGGTCGATATCTACGACCGGGATTATCTGTATTTCTGTTATCAACCATATGTTGTTAACGTATTTGTTAATATTATTATTATTATTATGCACTTGTTGAATATGTTATAATATGATATAAGTTATTAATTATTATGTATAGTAGGTACTATTATATATTATTATAATTGTATTTAAAGTCAATTGCAAGAATAGGCTAAAGACTTTAAATTGTCGTTTATTTGTTTACAGATCAACACAATTTCGTCTATTTCTTATTGAATTAATAGCCTATTATAAAACGACAATATTAGTCAAGAAAAATAAAATATGGATAAATTACAATTCGAGTTCATGGCAAAAGCATCATCAG